ATGAGTGGGCCGTCGAATGCTCCAACCTTTTACAAAAGCTTGATCTTGTTCTCCTATTAACTGTGATGCGTACTCACTGTGGGAGATTGTGGAGATTACAAAAGCTTCTGGTATAATTATTCATCATCGTCAGTCACAGCACACAAAAATTGTGCAAAGTTCTTTGCAAGTGTGCGGCAGGTACCACACTTCTCCGAAGAATGACGGAAGTATGGCCTAGTGAATGTCTGCCTACAACACAATTATTAATCACCTAGTGGGTACCCTGCAAGTGAGCTTGCAGCAGCTACCCAAAGAGAGTTTAAAAAGGGCTCTTAAAAGCTGCTCTTCTAGCTTTCGCTGTGACAGCGCTGTGCGTTCAGTGCAGGCCTGGCAGTTTTTTTTTTTTTGTTGGTCTGCTGGTTGCAAAGTCATTGGCATACTTGGAGTCTCATCAAAGGAGGTTTAGAAAAAAAAATTGCTAGATTGGAAATTGCCGTTATAGCTGGCACAATAAAAAGCTTGCTTTTAGTGAATTAAAAGATGCATTTTCATTCACATTTGCCAACTGGTGAGAATTCAGCCATCATCTTATTTTTTTTTTTCAGGCACGCTAATCTGATCCTGAACCTGTTTTCACTGATGGTTGATGCAAGTGTACCCGACATTGCCCTTGAACCTGACAAAACTGTGAAGAAGGTGAGGTTTCTGCAGGCAATGTATACCTTTGGTGTTATAGTATAACCAGTTGTTGAGTGAGGAGAAAGTAATTTTTCAAAAAATGGGGCATTAGAAATAAAGAGGGCATTTCTGTGGCAACATCATTCATGTCTGCAGGGACTTGAGATCTGTAAATATTTCTTAGTCACCCTATTGCAATCACATAATCAATGTCTGCTGTTGTTTAATTAAGATATGCCTGTATGTAGCAGCAGTCCCGTGAATGACACTTGTTTACAAATGTATTGTTGCAAGGAAAATTTGCCTTGAAATACTTTGGTGTAGTTGGTAAAGCAGCTTCGTTCAACAGTCGGGGCATAAGAATCTTTCAGCTCAATGGCGTAGGGCTGCACATCTGTCATTTGTCTTGTGTGACAAGTTTTTAGTTGTGAGAACTTTCACTTGCTCGTTTGTTCTGAAATGCTATCTTGGGTGGTTGTGCAGGTCCAGGACAAATTTCGGCTGGACCTGACAGACGAAGAGGCAGTCCACTACATGCAGAATCTTATCGACGTCAGCGTCAGTGCCGTTATGCCAGCACTCGTGGAGCAAATTCACAAGATTGCTCAGGTGAGGTGCTAAGGCTTGTGGTACTCGTTGTCGTGTCTGGCACTTAAAGTTCTATGCAATTTCTAACTTCACCATTTGCAATTTCCTCCCCAAAAGAACAATCAAGTGTAAATGGAATGCCATGTTTAGGTGCATGTAAGCCACATAAACTGCTGCATATGCCATTTTGATATTTGCAAAAGCAAAACGTTAAGATCTTGTAGCAGTGTCTTGTAGTACTATACATTTAATGTATACTATTGTGCTGTTACCGTATGTTCAATAACTGCTGTTCTCATTTTGACTCCTTGTAGAGTTCACTGTGGCTTGACAGCAAAAGCACACATGTATATGCAAATTGGCATGTCAGCTTAGGCCACACACTATAGCAATGGCAGAAGCGCATGGAAGTATGGAAGCTTGATGAGAAGAACAATTCCTGAACACAGTGTTGCTGGAGTGAACACTCTGACAAGCGTTCTTGTCTTCTTCAGGGCTGCAACTTGCTCCCCGCGAGTCTCGCAGCCTTGCAGAGAGCAAGACCACTTGTCGGAGCGTTAGCTTTAGCAACACACCGTGTTCATGAATTTTTCATCAGCTTGAGAGATTGGGGGCGTACTGCACATGTGGAAATGCAAAAGCTGTTTCGATACTTGACGTTTTTACACTTTCATGCATTCTGTAAAGCTGTAAAACACTTACAGTATGAATAATGCCTTATTTCATTACCATTCTACATTAGCTGTGAAGCATATAAACGATTCGGGTTTCAACTGAGATTGCGATTGCATGCTTCTAGCCTGCTGCTTTTATGGGTCATTATCTATGGATAATAGAGACATTGTGGAAGCTATTGAACAGCTGTGCCTACTTTTTGTCCTGCACGCAGTACTGGAGAAGGTGACACAGGCGTCCTAGGCATGGACATCATCAGAAGGCTACCAGACAACTGGCCCCAGGAGCCACACAGAAGTGGGGTGCGCACCGCACAGAGAAACCGATGATGCTGGCTTCCCAGCACTTCCGCTGTACATATTTATTGCCACTGTACAATTAACAAAAAACAAGAGTGATACCGGAAGCGAATATACAGGCACTGACGTGGCCATCCTCCTTTTTCCGTCAGCGTGTCTGCGTTATTCCACCTAACCAAAGATAGCAGGTCTGTAGACCAATCACTAGAACGATCTCGCCACATTTGGGGCACATATGTACCTGTCATCCTGGCACTGTCATGCCAGTAGCGCTTCCGTTGCGTTTAGGCAAAAGGCAACCCTTGCAGAATGCCCAGTCTAGTGGCATTATGGGTTTTGCCAATGTGTTGCTGGTGGTGGGATATTCCGTCATAGGTGCACTCGCTTGACTGTATCCCTATAGTACAGTTGTCTTATCGTACTGGAGGAACGTGATGCTGGTGGAAAATGAAAACTAATTGAAATTAAAGCATTTGACAGGCATGAGTGCAGTTTGAAAGTGCATGAATTAAATATTACTGGTGAGGCTGCTTGTTGATGCAGTTGAAATGCTTGTGTTTTGCGTTCACTTCTTCAAATGCACAACGTTACACCGCTTCATTCCCAGGGTACAGTAAAAGAATATTTTTATGCCTACAAGGAAGCTGGAACGCTTTTTAAGTGGAAACATGTCTGATGAAATGTCGGATGGCAGCACTGAGATGGTAATTTCTTTGTCTTCTAGCAACTTGTGTTTTGAAAATAGCATCGGGTGGGTTGCGGCACGTGTGCTGTTGGTCCGGCATTTCAGAAAAGCTTGTCGATTAACAACAGGTGTCGCCTTTTTCTATGAACAATTAGCAATGAACTTCATTATGTTGCTTCGAATGTGTATGTGCTGATTTTTATGGATGTGAAGCAACTTGCTTTTTAAAAAGCAAGTATTTCTTATCAGCTGAAAAAAAATTTTCCATTGAGCAATTTTCAAATTATCAAAGCAGTTAGAGGTTACAAAGGAATAATTCGGAGTGTTTACGTGCAAAAACAGAGGTGGGAAGTAATATGCCTGCTATTTTTCATTGGGTTGTATCAAGTATGCGTGGAAACCAATTTCGATAAGAGAAGCACATTTTTCATTTTTGAGTACCAAAGTTCCCACATCACATCAACAAATGGCTCAAGATGCAAGATATTTTACTGGAAATCTACAGCGAGTCGCTTGATTTCTTGTATAGTGCTGTTTCAAGATGGCTTTTGTCCGTGCTAGTCTAAGCTACAGCCATAGTATATTCTTTTAGAGCTATTTGTAACTGCTTGTGGCGAGGAAAGTATCCTTCTGCATACTGGAGTTGTTAATAATGAGAAACTACCTGTCAGCATCCTGCTTAGTGCCTCTTTATTCTATAATTATTGAGTATGACAGTATGGTAAGAAAACCATTGTAATGTGAGAGTATTTCATTATAGGCACTTATTTTGATGAACAAAAAAATGCTAATACAGTGCGAGAAAGAACATACAGCTTTTGATGCAGTTGCTAAATGGATACTGCAGAGAGTGGATCTTAGTCTTGGGCTGTGTGAAAACAATGTCGTACAATGAACTGGGACACCAGGGCCAGCTTTCCAGCAATCATTTATAATTTTATCACGGCAGATGATATGTGCTATTAGCTTTTCTGCAAAGGAATGTAACCCTAAACATTAGTTTTAATGAAAAGAAAATCTAGGGCATTCGATGACCTTCAAATTATCTGTTCCATCGCATGCTTCTGTAGCAAGGTCCGCCTTGGTGGAACAGTGGCTACGGTGCTCGGCCGTTGCCCAAAGGTTACGGATTTGATCCTTAGCTGCGGCGGTCGCAGTTTCGATGGAGACGAAATGGTGGAGGCCCATGTACTGTGCGAAGTCGGTGCACGGTAAAAAACACCAGATGGTCAGACTTTTCGGAGCGCTCTGCCACGGCATCTCTCATAATCATATAGTGGTTTAGGGATGAAAATGCCAGATATTATTAATATTCTGCAGCAAGTATCATCTGGTGACAAGTTTTGCCTGAATGCAAACAGTGTCTATGCTATAATGTCCTACCAGGTTTATCAAGAGTGCACTCCATGCTGTTGAAAATATTTAATTGGAAATTTGTGACTTGTTGCAGCTTCAGTCATTTCAACTTTCAACATGCTCTTACATGAGCGAAGCACATCAGTGTAAAATATTGCCTCCATAATTGCCTCTTTCATTCTGTAAAATATGAATATCAGTACAAATCTGCATAAATGCAACAGGTTTGGATAAAAGAACACATAAAATGAATAAATAGAAAGCCCAATGCATGCTTCATAAGCGATGTTTATTAAAATACGACAGGTACTGCGTACACAGCATCTTAATGCCCACAAGCTGGGAGACTGGACAGCTCAATGCAACATCTACAGTGAGAGATTTTGATCAACAAAACTAATAATAATACACCTCTCCTGGCACCGGTTGATCCTACATTTTCACATTGCAAAGAGCAAGGCGAATATCGGAACACTGTTTGTATGCTGCTGTTTTCGCTAAACTCTATAGTCATGCAATGAATCGTTGGTGTCAGACTTTTAAAAATATGAGTGGCCACCTTTCGAATTGATAATTTTTCAAAATGAGCATCATTCTTTAGACAGAACAAAAAACTATGAACTAAGTGATAAGACTTAAAATTTACAAGCATCATGGGTAACTCGCGTGTAGTTGAAAGCTAGCAAGTACAGCTTTCTTTGCTGGTACAATGTGGCACGGTCACATATTCTGAACATCAAATATGTGCACTAGTGCAGCGCAAGTCTGAATGTAATAATTACCACAAGCAGTGCACTTTAAAAAATATGCCTTTTCTTTCCTCTTAGTCTCAGCTTGTGTCATGCCATCCTTCATGGGCATCAGTCTTCCTCCTCCTGTTTGCCAGCTGTAGCTGAAATGAAATTCACAGGCGTATGCCATGAAAAGGCCATGCAAAAACACTCATTATTTCTTGGCCAAAACACGTGCTGCAGTGCAACAAATCAGACTATCTATGTTCAAGGTGAACTAGCACCCCCTTATGTGGGAGTACTTTTATTCACTCATACTGTTGGCCTGACGGCCGTTACAAGTTGGGTCAAAAGTAGCACTTTGCGAGACATACATTACATGATAAATAAAGAAAGCACTTCAAAATATACGGAAAAAATGCACCGGTAAACAATAAAACATGAAAAAAAATAATAAAATTAAATTAAAACAAACATAGGCACACACACAAATAAATAGTTCCTTTATAGGTTGATAAAATTTTACAACACCATACATGCGAAGTCTGCCAGCAGTGGTACAATCCATAATGGAGCACTACGTACAAGGATACACAGCAGGACATAAGGAGAATATTGCGTACATATGTGAATGAAACTACACAAAAATAAAGACAGAATGCTTAAGAATGATCTCGGAGGTATACTCAGAGGTATGCGTATACTTCCTCAATTTCGTGCAAGCTTATTTTGAAATTCATCTGCAGTGGTGCATTGTAGCATTAGTAGCGACAATTCATTCCATTCTGTTATAGTTCTTCAGAAAAAAGCAAACACATATCTGAGGCACTTCGAAGGTACCCTCCTTCCTCTTAGCAGTACTCTACCTTCTTGTGCTATTAAGTACCTGATAACTATTGATGTTAGATTTGTTTTTAGTAAGATAGTAAAAAAAAACATTAGCCTTGCTATGCGCGTGCGTTCAGCAAGCCTGGGCAAGTTGAGCAAATTGAGCATTATGGAGACAGAATCTGTACGAGAGTATTGTGGTAAGATGAACCTTGCTACTCGACGTAGAACTCTTTCCAGTTTCTGAATTAACACTGACTGATAAGGGTCCCAGATTATGCTGGCATACTCTAGCGTGGGCCGTACATAGGTTAAATAAGCAGTTAGCTTAACTGACTGTGAGGCTAAATACAGTTTTCTTTGCAAGAACCAAGAGTTTCTTTCCAACAGTTTCACATACTTTTGCAACATGATAGGACCAGCTTAAATTCTTGAATATGTTTACGCATAAGTATTTCGGCACATCAACCGTAGAAAGTACTCATGAATTCATGGAATAATTGAAGTCAAAGACATGATTCACTTTCTTTGTTCCGGTAATAAAACAGTTTTATTCCCATTTATTTTTATTTCCCATTTGTCGCACCATCTTTCTACTGCCCTCAGAGCATCATGAGCAATTGTTGATCTTCCAGGCTATTAATTTTTCTAGTACAGTAGACAATCATACGTGAAAGTTGCACTGTGATACTTTCATATAATTCAGTAGGCAACGTCATTAATATAGACCAAGCATAGCACCGGGCCTAACACAGACCCCTGTGGAACACCTGATGTCACGTTAATGGTTTTGATTTAATATGTTCCACTTTTAGGTATTGCGTTCTACCTTGAAGGTACGCGGTTATCCATTTAACTATTTTCTCATTTATTCTATAACTGTCAGCTTCACGAGCAATTCTGCATGTAGCACTCTGTCGAATACTTTCGACAGATCAAGACGAATGGCATCTATTTGTTTCTTTTTTAAGTTCATGGCAAAGTCATCAACCGTTTCAAAAAGCTGAGTTGTTGTGAAAAGATGCTGTCTGAATCCATGTTGGTAGGGAAAAAATTAGTTGGCGTTTTCGATGTACGCATAAATTGAATTAGATACAACGTGCTCAAGGAGCTTGCAGCACACGCAGGTAAGTGATATTGGACGACAGTTTTCAATTACCCGCTTATCACGAGATTTATGCACAGGTGTAACTTTAGCCATAAGCCAATCATCCGGCATTTGACAACAGACCCCAATCTTGGAACAGACCTCAAATATCACACCAACTGTGCGCTTTAGCTAACACAACGTGTGTAACTTTTATAGCAGCAGATCAATCCCAGCATCAGTTTCTCTTTATATTGAAGAGGCAGCTTAATTTAGCCCTTTAGATGAATGCATAAGAATAAGGGTAGCATAATCCTTCTCCTTAACAGGAGAACCTCAATCCTCACAGCAGGTTCCCCGAGCATTCTGATCAAGGCTGCTCAGAACTTGAAAGTACAACAGAAAAGCAGCAAGGTCTACAGGCATCATAGCATTGGCAGGATAAGCACGCATTTGATCTGAACAAGTTTGAGGCCCATTGTCCTTGCGGCTCTACCACTGTACATTTAGCCCCAGAACAACCTTTGGGAGCAAAATGGCAAGGCCAGCGCGAACACAGCTTACAGAGCACATTGCTTTATGTGTTGAGAAAAGCTTGTGAAGGCCGATTTTTTGTTTTATTGGAATGAAGCATCAAAAGGAAAACGGCATTGCATACTTCAAGTAAACTAGACATCTTTGCCTAGAGCATCACGAGAACGCATCACTAACCTTTTCCAACTTGGCCAGCGTGATGTCTATTTCAGCACCGATTCTTTGCAGCTCCTTGTTTCCTTCGGCAACTTGTGCTTCTAACACATTAGTTTTCTCTTTGCTTTCCTTCAGTGCGGCAGTCATGTCCTTTACGTATTTCGCGTATAATTGCCGTAAATGATCTTGGATATCCTCATCCGGATTTCCAGAAGGCCGCCTTGTCAGGAAAAAGAAAAAAAAAAAGATCAACGAGAACTAAGAAACGCGTGATGAGAGAGGTCTCCCCACGTTAAGGAAGCGGCCGTGGTCACTTTCGTTTGACATCGCTGATTTTCTACAAGCGCCGAGAAAGACATGCCGGAGCAGTTTTGCTTACCACGCAGGTGTCCCTTTGTATTCTTCTTGCTCTTCGATCAACTGGCTCAGACTTTTGAAACTTCTCGTCCAGATTCAGGTCGTCGATGATAGCCTTGCTTTCTGCGTTCATGTGCGTCAGAAGCTGATCCGTGAGGCTATTAACGCACTTCTCCAACGAGCTCTTCTCTATTCCAGCACTTTTCAAGCTCAGCTGGTTGAAGCGCGTGCAAGCACCGCTGCCTGAAACGAATCGAGGCTGTTTATACGGCGCTCATGAATACACACGGTGTTATTGTATCATTACCTGAACTTCTCGCAAAGGTCTTTGGAAGCTTTGTCGATGGCGCGTAGACATCTTTCGGTACGCTCGCAGCACTGTCCATCCATGATTTTTGCTCGCCCCCTGGTCACAGAACACCTACCAGTTGCCCTGGTCTTGTATTTCAACTCCCGCGGCCCACTACACAACGCCACGAACTTCGCCTTCTTTTCGCTGTTCGCGCGAAACACAGCAGCTATAAATGGATTGCAGCCGTTATTTGGCTAACCGAGTTAGAGAACCGAGTTCGCAGAAACCGAGTACCACGCGCAAATCTCAAAGGCTGTGCTTTAATAGGTTGCAAGCGCAAATTTTTGTGTTTCAATCATTATACTTGAATGATTTTTTTACAACCAATTAAATTTTTTTATTTTAAAATGCGCAATAAATTAACTTTAACTTTTTATTGTTTGTTAGGTTTATATTGTGTCTGCGTTTGTTTATTGTGGAACCAGTCCAAGCCAAGACGAGCACGCTGCCAGTAGCAACCGGTGAGCAGCGTCTGTATGGCGTCTTTGGGTGAAAAGTATGAGACGTAAAACAGTGTGCAACTCGTTCGATTTTGTGCGATTTCGGGTCCATATTTTTGAAGTTATCAAAGTCTGAAGTAATCCGCTACCGAATTCATTGACGCTTCGGGGAGTTACAGCCGAACTGTCCATCGAAATGCGCAAGTGTAGCCGACGAACTCGCCGTCGAAACGCTTTCAGCGCGGCATTTCGACACGTTTCACTTCAGCTCCTCCGTGTGAATTATCGCTCGCGCATCCTCCCGAATGATTATCAAGCTCGCCTAATTAGTTTCATCGAGTGTGCGTCGCTCTAGACTTCAACCGCGATCGCTTCGTGACGGTCGAAAAGATGCGCCATAGGTGGTGTCGCATGTTTCTCGGTCTCATATGCGTGAACTTTTTCTCGGTTTTCGTTATGTGGATATACCTCGACAGCAAGTGCCCGTGTTACGAGACATCTCGAGAAGGCGGCGGCGTGAAGGGCTTTGAGGGGGCGGCTCGTCAGCGCTCGGCCATCGCCGGACCACAGGACGACTTCAGCGCCGGAGGAGCCTTGAAGATGCGCAACGCCGCTCCCCTGGACGACATCTACGACCTCCCGAACTCCCTCGTCACCCTGGTGCTGCGGGAATTCGAATTCTACGAGCAGGACTTGGTAGAGACCGTTCGCTCTTTTCACACGGTGTTTCCGCGCATGCCGATTGTGCTGATCGCCGACGACGTACCTTACCCACCCGTTAGGTTTCCTCGAGACGAATTCGGCCCTAACGTAACAGTCGTGTCACTCGCGAGGTATCCGGATCGCTATGCCAACGCTACGCGCCTGGAGAACTACGTGAAGACGGATCTGGTGTTGTTCGTGCCCGACTCGGTGCGCATGACGCAGCCGGCCATCGTCACCACCATGATCAAACGCGTGTTCAAGAAGCCGCATCGCCTGGTGGCCGTTCGGGTCGCGGGCGAGATGCGGCGCTGCCTGAACCTGGAGGTGAACTTGCGCGAGTGGACGCTGGTGTATCGCAAGGCGCCGCGCACCGCCGAATTTCGGTGCGACGCGTTCGGGGGCCGCCATTTGCTCATGGCCAAGTCGGAGCTGGTGCTGTCGCTCGCCGAGCCGATGGCGCGTCCGTTTCCCGAGGCGCTGTACGTGCAGACAGCGCTCAGAGACGTGAAGGTAACTGGTGTGTTTACTTTGGTTTTATTTTCTTCGTTTTTTGTCGATGTGTGTTGTGAATTCCAGTTGCCGTAGTCGACAAGAGGTTCCAGTCACGAACACCATTGTCCGCGTAAATGTATGTTCACTATTGTAACAGACTAGAAAAAGGTAGAGAAGAGAAGCAGAGGAAGACGAAGAGTCTTGGCACGATCGCAGTGTGCTGCCGAAAACGAGCATCGTTCACCTCCTATAGATAAAACCATCTTATCACAGCTCGCTGTTACAGTTGTGGTGGACGTGCTGGGTAATCGACACCCGAAGACGGAAGGTGAACCGCAAGTTCTTCGACGGAGCCGTCGCATTGCTGGACTTCCACCGAATCTATCTGGTCTGGACATGTCCCACAACGCAAATGAACACCGACCCCTCTCGACTTATGCGCCGACCAGTTCGGCTCCACAACTGAGAGATGCTCGTCCCTTTGCCGGCAGACCAGATGAAGACGTCGAGGCTTGGCTCATCTATTACAAACGGGTGAGCGCCGCTAACAGATGGGATGCCGCTTCTCAGCTTTTGTATGTCGCGTTCTTTCTGACGGATACTGCATTAATGTGGTACGAGAATCGGCACGAAACGCTAACAACGTGGGACAGATTTCTTTCTGAAATCAAAGAGCGTTTCGGCGACCCAACAACGATAAAGAATAGAGCAGAACAGACGCCATTGCAACGCGCTCAAGTGCCAGGTGAAACTTGCACGACCTACATTGAGGAAGTCATAAAGCTATGTAGGACCATTGACTCCGGAGTGTCTGAGGAAGACAAAGTCGGGCACATTCTAAAAGGAATCGCCGAGGATGTTTACAGTTTCCTCATCGCGAAAGACACCTTGACATCTGTCACCGATGTCATTTGTCATTGCCACAATTTCGAGCAACTAAAGACGAGGCGCATCACGCCAAAGTTCGGCAGGCTACCCAATGTGACGACCATCGCGAGCATAGACAGCAACCAGGCGCTTGATCTTGCAACAACAATCCGGCAGATAGTACGTGAAGAACTCGGCCTGTACGCGCAAGTGGCAAACCACCCAAGCACTCATCCCCCCTATCAGCCACCAGAGTTCGAGCGAAACGTTGCTTCATTCTCCTCGCACCGAGTGGCGGAGGGCTTTGAGGATTCTGATGCCACACCTCAGTATCAGCCACGTCTATACGATAGAGGCCCTGCCTATGACTCACGATCACGACAAGCACAGCCACATTCTTATACTCGGGGCTCTCAGCCGGACTACGTCCCGCTGCGGCAAGGACAGTACCAACCCTACTACCAAGATGTAACTTACGACGAATACAATGAATTCCAGAGAGTGGCAGAAACCCGTTCTTCGCGTGATAACAAACTTCCTCGCCGACAGCAGCGGCCCAGGATTCTTGCAATGAATATGGTATAAACCGTGACCCTCCCGTGTGCTACAACTGTGGTTTCACTGGGCATATTGCTCGGTAATTCTTGTCAGGAAAAAGGATGGTTCCTGGAGATCCTGCGTCTAAACACTGTGATGAAGAAAGATGTATATCCCTTACCACGGATTGATGACGTCATAAATTGCTTGCATGCCGCTTCCTATTTTTCAACGCTTGATTTGCGGTCAGGTTATTGGCAAATACCTATGGAACCCGGCGACAAAGAAAAGACTGCTTTCATAACTCCGGATGGCTTATTTGAATTTAATGTCATGCCTTTTGGCCTTTGTAATGCTCCAGCCACCTTTGAAAGATTTATGGACACAGTATTACGTGGTCTAAAATGGGAGATATGCATGTGCTATCTTGACGATGTTGTGATCTTTGGCCGTACGTTTGAGGAACATAACAACCGTCTCAGTCTTGTTCTCGACTGCATCGAAAAAGCCGGGCTGGTTCTGAATTCTAAAAAATGTTGCTTTGGCGAACGTCAAACTCTCGTGCTGGCGCACTTGGTCGACCAGGATGGCGTCAGACCCGATCCTCGCAAGATAGAAGCAGTGAGCTCTTTTAAATCACCGCAGTCCGCACGAGAACTTCGGTAATTTGTCGGCCTATACTCATATTTTCGTCGTTTTGTTCCACGATTTGCGGAGATCGTGTATCCGCTGACAAACGTCTTGCGACAGGATGCAACCTTCAACTGGACACCAGAGTGTGACACCGCATTCTCACAACTTAAGTTTGTACTAACGTCAGCACCACTGTTGCGTCACTTCGATTCATCTTGCCCGACTGAGGTCCACACGGATGCTAGTGGTATCGGTGTAGGCGCGGTGCTTGTACAACGTCACAATGGCGCAGAGCATGTCGTGGCATATGCCAGCCGTTGCCTGAGCAAATCAGAACGCAATTACACAGTTACGGAACAGGAATGTCTGGCAGCTGTTTTCGCTGTACAGAAGTTTCGTTGTTATCTTTATGGGCGGCCAATTAAGATAATTACCGATCACCATTCGTTATGCTGGCTGGTCGGTGTGGGTGACCCCTCTGGCCGCCTCGCACGTTGGGCGCTGCGACTTCAGGAATACGACTTTACGGTGTCGTACAAGAGTGGCCGTCGTCACGCTGACGCAGACTGCCTCTCCCGGATTCCTCTTGCGACTACTGACTGCGATGCTGAGAATTTTGACGACTGCCTTGCTGCTGTTACAAGCACGTTCCCCACCGCGGCTGATTTCCAGAGAGAACAACGCAACGATTTCAACTTGGATCCTCTTTTTGCCGCCGCACGCCTCCCAACACAGCGGTCGCTTTACTGTCCGAGACAAGTTGCTCTATAAAACTAACTACTCCAGACCTGGAGCACGTTTTTTTCTAGTTGTCCCCGAGAGCCTTCGCTCTGATGTTCTACGTGCCATGCATGACGATGCGACGTCCGGTCACTTCGGCTTCATTAGAACGCTGAACCGCACGCAGGAACGCTTTTACTGGCCCAAGATGTACGAAACGACGAAGCGTTACGTCGCTAGCTGCGAGACGGGCCAACGTCACAAGCGCCCGGCCACCGCTACACCAGGTCCCCTTCAGCCGGTAACACCACCCAGCACACCTTTTGAACAAGTAGGAATTGACATTATGGGTCCATTTCCGTGATCTAACAATAAGAAGCGTTGGATAATCGTCTGCGTAGATCATCTCACGCGGTATGCCGAAACCGCAGCTATTCCCTCTTCTACCGCTGCATCCATGGCAGACTTCTTGCTTCACTCCGTGGTCCTTCGCCATGGCCCACCGCGTGTTATTATCAGCGACCGTGGCCGCCAGTTCACTGCCGATGCCGTTGAAGAATTACTACGCATGTGCATGACACAGTTCCGTCATTCCACACCGTATCACCCAGAGACGAATGGCCTCGTTGAACGGACAAACAGAACCTGACCAACATGCTTGCCATGTACGTTTCTTCCAATCACAAGAACTGGGATGAAGTGCTGCCTTTTATCACGTACGCGTACAACACAGCAAAACATGAAACAACGAACTTCAGCCCATTTTATCTGTTGTACGCCAGGTTGCCACTAAGCCCTCTAGACACTTTCTTACCCTTCATTCTACACAATGACGACTCTGTATCAAACACCCTGTGCCTCGCGGAAGAAGCCCGTCAAATCGCTCGTCTTCGTACTCTGGCCTCTCAACGTCGTTCGAAGGAACGATACCACGACCGTCGAACGGGTTTTATTCGAAAAAGGTGACTTGGTGTTACTTTGGACACCGCAACGCAAGCGTGGATTGTGTCAAAAGCTTCTCTCACGATATTCAGGCCCATTTGTAGTTTTGGAGCGTTTAAGCCAGCTCACTTACGTAATAGCTCGTCTTTTGTCCAATGGTCGGCGATCGAGCAGAACGCAGCTCACTCACGTTGCTCGCCTGAAACCTTTCTACCTTCCTTGTGCGTCATAACTCGCCCTACGGGCTTCGTCTGCTTGCGGGGGAATGTAACAGACTAGAAAAAGGTAGAGAAGAGAAGCAAAGGAAACCGAAGAGTCTTGGCACGATCGCAGTGTGCTGCCGAAAACGAGCATCGTTCACCTCCTGTAAATAAAACCATCTTATCACAGCTCGCTGTTACACTATTATTGCATTAGATGATTAAAAATAGAAATGTTATTGATTATTACGTGCATTTCCTGCAACATCTCCACACCATAATTAATATATTTAGTGTCTAGGCTCCATTACGAGCTGCAAGCTACCGTGACCGGCGCATCTTACTGCAGCCGTCGTGATCACAAATATTTCGCTGTTATTTTCACGCAGATTGACATCGTGGATAGCCTGGTTGCTCAGAATGGCCGCACGCTGTTCACAACGGAGCACAATCGGCAGAAGTTGCGTTTAGCCACTACAAGTCGCCGTTCGCAGCTCTACGCCAACTTTGGAGTGAAGAAAGTCCATCAGCCCGGCGGGGAAGTCACGTGGCACGGCTGCAAGCGGGACACTTCCCGTTGCTTTGGCACCGTGCTGGACGAGACGCCAGACTACCTGTACAAGGGACGCTGGACGCCGCCTTGTTGCCTGGAAAACTTGCGGCGCACTGCCAGGCACGTCTTTGCCATACTGGAGAGGTGCAAGACCCGCTACTGGCTCGAAGGAGGTAGCCTCCTTGGTGCAGCCAGGAACCACGACATCATTCCTTGGGACTACGATGTTGACATTGGCGTGTATAGTGAGGATGTGCAGCGCTGTGAGTGGCTGCGGAACTCTCAGAAGGGTTCGGTGATTGACGCTGATGGCTATGTGTGGGAGAAGGCTGCGGAGGGAGACTTCATTCGCGTCCAGTACAGCAGTGCCAATCGAGTGCATGTGGACATATTTCCGTTTTACTCCCGTAACGGTGTAATGACTAAAGACACCTGGTTCAAGAGCCATCCACAGGACAGGGAGTTCCCAGAGCATTTTCTGAAGCCTCTGTCCAGTATTCTTTTTGTCGGTGTGTTTGCATCAGCACCCAACAACGTCACTCAGTTCCTGGAGCTGAAGTTTGGCAAGGGTGTTATAGAGAAGCCCCAGTATCCGAACCCAGCCTTGTTGGCTTATCCAAAAAGCACTAGTACATAGTGTTAAATAAGTGCAGTAAGTGTGAGAATGCAAGACATGGTAATAGTACATTTTGTCAAAGTATGGTGTGGAGCCTCTGTTCATTTTGAAGCAAAGTGTGAATGTGCAATTTTTATTTTCTCCTTTTAAATTTTTGTAAGCTTCAGCAAACTTGAGAAAGAAAAATGCATTCGTTCAACCTTTCGAATCTTTATAAAGTGGGCAGTCACTGTGCGAGGAGCTTCTTGAAACAGTAAATATATATCTAAAAGGGTCTATATAATTATTGCAGGTGTAGTGCCATGTCCTCATTGCTGTAATGTGTAAATATCGCCATCCGTAGCACTGCCTTTCTTTTTTTTTGTAAGACTGATTGTACATGAAAATAAGAAGCATTGCTATTATGCATTCACTTGTATATCTTAGCACTCCTTGCTGCTTGAGATATAGCCAAACTTCATTATGTGAAGATTAATCCGATGTGAGAACACCGTAAGTATAGGCCATGTTCAGTACATTCTTAAATTGCCAATTAACATTTTTAGATTTTTTGTTATATGCAGTACTTTATTATATGTTTTCATTACATCGAGGTTAATTGTGCCAGCCTGTTTGTGCAAATACTGTAATACACAGTATTATAATTATCATACATTTCTTCCTGTCTATTCAGAAAAAGGGGATATAATCACCTCATAACACAGCCTTTGTGTCTCTTGTTTTGTTGGCCAGAAGCATAAGTGTTTTTTCTGGTCAATCAGTGTATGGGAGCACTGCACTTCAGTGACCTTCAACAGTTGTATGAGACATCAAGACACAGATTTACCACCTGAAACCTCACTGAAATAAGATATGAATGCCTAAACTTGTATGCTGTATTCAAATGTTGCTGTTCATCCAACTGATTAGGTTGCTTGATTGATGCTCAAACAATACATATTTCAGTTTGTTTGACTGCAGTGCATTTGGTCATGTTTTAGGTTGACTGGCTGTATGACCTAAATGCATCTATGGAATTTGTTTACAATTGCCACTACGGCCTAGTGGCTGTACTGTTGTTCAATGAGACAAAGCTGAGTCCAGCTTAGCATAGAGTTTCCTAAAATTAACTAAAGGGGGCTCTGGCATGACGATAGTTCCCAAGCTGCCACACTTCCAAGGGGCTCTGGCGCTGCGATCGTTCAGCGACGATGGGAATGACGGGTAGTACACGGATTTGCCTAGTCTTCATACTTGTGGGCGGTGAATCGCACTTGTGGCTTCATTTATTACTGTGTTTCGGTTTTGTTTCGAGAGAAAGGACATACCCTTTTGAACTTCATGATCCAATTTGAAATGGTAAGCCTAAATGAATAAGGTGGTGAAGTGCAACCACTGAACATTCGTTAATTTTTGTTTTGTAACAGAACAGTTCCAAGCCATACGAACACACACGGAGCCAGAAGTACGAAGATTGGACAAATCCATGTACTACCCATCATTCCCATGCTCGCTGTAAGCACCGTGTGTGCAGCTCCCATAGATATTAGAGCCAGAGTTCCCTCTAGTGTATATTTAGGAAACTCTATGCAACTTAGGGCTAAATTAACGTGGGACTCACCGTAAGCAATGCACTATGGCACAGTTGGATTTCACTGCATTTATATAAAAATTAAATTCAATAACACGTGCTTGGATTTTAGTGTATGCTAATGTACACTAGGTGGTAAATTTTAATTTGGTGTCCAGCGTTACGGCGTGCTTCATACATCTATTGCAATTCTGGCATGTAGAACTTAATTGCTTCTATATATGTGTGCATTGGAGAGGGGATGTTGATTGGAAATGGCATTCATGTATGGTGAATATGTAAGTTGCAGCTATTTACTCATATTTGTCTATCACTAATAGTCGTGTTCATAACAACTAGTATATGCAGCTTAATTTACGCATAAGGCTCATTCCAAGAGATCGCATATAATTTCATTCCTTTTTGTAGAGGATGTGTATCTCGAACAATGTGTTCCCACAGTCAGTGCTACACCTAGTGGTTTAAATTTAAGGGATTTTTTCTCTCTGTAAATAAAAAAATGCTTAACTTGTTAAATATGTATACAAGAAAGAAAAGAAAGAAGTGCAAGCACGAGAGGAGAGCTTGTGCATGGTGTTGTAAAAAGGACAGTATGTCCACCATTTCATTGAGTCATTTGACCGTTCTTTTTTTTTTGTTTCACTCTGCCAAGGAAGGACACCTTTAACCGACATTAGTGTTCCTTCACACAAATATCAGTTTACATACATGTGGACTGATGACCAGGAATGGCTGCCGTCAAATCTTGAGCAAGAGCCTTTGGAAGATTCTAAATATGCACCAATGGCTGAGCAAGCAGTCTTCCCATGCCCTCCTGCCACTTTCATCATTTCATTTGGTGTTTTTATTTGCCCAAAGAGGGCAAATAACGATATGCATATTCACTAAAGCAATTCATTGGAAACATGTGCAGCTCCTCCGCTTCCATTTGAATTTTGATCCCTGAACGAGCAAGGGGACCCCCTCCAAATCCTGTCAGACTTGTCAGACACCTTACTCAGGTTACACACAAAGCACCTGTCGTGAGGATTGTCTGTTCATATTGTCTGCACAGTTTTTTTTTAGCACATTTTCTCCCGCCAAAGTACTTCCTCATTCACGCAGTGCAACTCCTAGACCTATAAAAAGGCTTGCCCGATCTTGCAGTTTGATAATGTCCGTTATTCATGGTTTATAATGTAGCCTCGCACTCGCATTTCCTTAAACTGATATAACAGCAATATTCTGAGCAGCCCTTATTTTTATACTTAAACATCAGCTTTAGTTCGAATATTCTATGCATTACTCCTCAAATTGCATGTGTGCTCACTTATTTCTTCATCGTAGCGTTTGTGTATGTGCCATTTTAAGCTTCTATGACTGATTCATTTCAGTTCCATGCAAATGTCTGTAGCAAAACCTAATGCAAGCCTTTGAGTTGTTTTTATCGAGTCACTTGATGATTCACACCTGTCAATTTTCTAGTCATCTTGTAGAATGTTTACGCATATTAAACAGCAAAAGACATTTATTCTGTTCTGTCTACTCTTCAAGGTTGCTTTTTTCGTGTCATGCCATGTCAGTCGTAGGCTAAGTAACTGCAGCATTTTTATACTGTACATGACTTTGTGTGGTTCAAATCCCATGATCAACAGCTTGATTCTTATAAAAGAATGCAGAAACACTTGCATGCCATCTCTCTTGAGATGTCGGTGCTTGTTAAAGGAGCACTGGCACAATAATTTTGCATCTTTTTTTTTATTTTGTTGTTGCAATAGGCAGCCTATGACTTACTTATCACGGCTGAAAACCTCGTCTGTGCGAGTGCACGACAGTTATTTATTTAGAGCCATTTTTTGAGCACCCAGTCTCAGTTTAGTTTAAAGAGCACCGATCCAGGCAGGATTCTTTCGTCGTGGTGATACAAAATTTGGCGCCTGCCAATAACTTTCGCTGACGTCACATGTAAAGGTCGCAACTTTAGCTAGCGAAACTTGTCAAAACAAATAATTTACTGCCGCCTTATTTTTCGTTTTAGAAAGTTTGTTCGCTCACGACTAAACTGGTTTTCGTGACTGTCTCGTGTTTAGCGATGTTTAGCGCTTCCATGCGTATCGCGCATCTGTGGTGGAGGCTGCAGGCAAAGCCGACCCGTCTGCAATGTGTTGATGCGATGCCTCCGTAGCTTCGCGGTTCGAAAGCGTAGATTCGGGTAGTTTTAGCTTAGCGAATGTTATCGAAAAATGGGGTGTTACAGGCGCAACACAAAGATCAGAGCACCTCGCTAGAGGTTCCGCGGTGCTATGGAAGACAGCGGGATCGACAGCGATTCCAAGACGAACAGCTGTAATGGTGGCGATCGGCCGCAGCAAGATGTACCGGTTCCAGTGATGAAGTTAGATGGCGGTGAAGCTGACATGAATGAAGCAGAAGCCGCCCAGGACAAACCCCAGGCTCGTATACTTGCATCTTTACTGTTGTTTTGGTGTGCGCGGGTGCTAGCTTTCTCATATTGCCAAGCCTTCGCTGACTCCGCCGCACACGAGGGCACTCGTAGCGACCATCTGTCGCCTTCAGCAAGTGTTTACTTGTTTAGTATAGCCTCAAGTGCGCCTTGAGAACCTACAAAAGAATAAAACGGTATCGTAGTCGCTAGACAAAAAAAAAAAAGCCTGTTTAATTTTCTCGCTGTTCATTGCGGCTTATAGAACAGGTTTACACCTACGGAGCGGCAAAAAAGCAGTCGCGTTTACCACTATTGGTTTTTATTTGCTCTCTGATAGTGTTGCACCGAGAATAATCATACGTGTTCCTTTGCAGCCTCTTCATCAGAAAAAAACGCGTCCCGGCTTTTCAGGCCACGCATAAACGAATTGATAAAACTAGTGTGTGCGCGTACGGCTATCATCGCAGTTTTGTGTTTTGACATTTCACTGTTACCGCGCCGTTCTGACGATGTTCTCAGTAAAACGTTCACTTAAGTCACACGGGAACTGGGGTCTTGAAAACGCGGGGGGTTGTGAACATCGATTAATAGCCACGAGCTTCGCAATATTGCCAATTCATAAGTGCATCTGTGTTGCAGGAGGCACCTCTTGAAGAACCACAGAAGACACCGCAAGAGCAGGCAGCATCAAAGTCGAGAGCGCTTCAGCTCCATAGACGATTAGGTGCGACATCACTTGTTTTTTGTTCCTCTTTTATGTGCATAAGTCTACGTTACCCCTTCGATATATTGAGATAAAGAAATTATATGCATGAGCTGCAACTGTGCTTAAGTTACTAAGAGCAAGGATATGGGGGGAGGAATCAGAGACAAGAAGAGTACCTAGCTAATTGGTGTTAGCACATATTGCATGCTTGAATGCGAGGAGAGAGCAACAAAAATTGACGTGTGTGGCTCAAGGCTAGGTTGCACAGCCCCATCGAGTTCTTTCACATATTGTTGTGTTTCATCGCATTGTGAACCACACATGGTGGGACACATGTCTCTAAAAAATCAACATTCAGTTAAAGTTAGGCCCAGTGCAATCTTTGCTTGCCAGTGCTTGACAAATGTGTCTGATGATCCACTTCTGCATTTAACCCAGAGCGGCACATACAGCAGTCAAAGAAAATTCGACAGCAGACACGAAATGCGTGCATCGACACTCAGCCCAAGAAGATGCTCCTACCACGAAGCAGGTAAAATTGTGTCGAAATTTCATCTGTTGCTTAGCAAGTACCACCTGAATCACATTTGTCTGTAGCAGTTGAGCTTGTGACTGGACACTGGTGCCTTCTGCACATGCTACCTTGCATTATCTACAAGCTTCCATCTATGCCTGAATTATAGCAAAAAGACCTATAATGCGGTACGACTATTCTTGGCATCATTATGGTGTGGGTCTTAGCATATTTTTGCTAAAAGTGATGGCTGAAGCAGCCAACTGACCACTCTAGGTAGGTGTGATTGTGACTATACAAGCTTGTGCCTCTTAGCATGAAGAAAAGGTTTTAATTTCTGACCTATGACTGCATTTCAATGAGAATAAAGTACAGGAACACTTGTATACCCAGAGTGAAATTCATGTCAAGGAACACCAGATGGTCCATAGTTATCCGTAGTGCCCAAATGGTAGTGTGCCTCATAATTATCATGATTATAGCATGTGAATTCCCAGGGGTGGTGGTGGTGGTGGTGGTGGTGGTGTTGCAGCAGGCGGGGTTAGCCTGGCCTGCATGGCCGGTAATTGTTCCGCTTGAGCATCTCCTTAATTTGGAAAATGTCACCACGTGTCTGACAGCCCAGTGTCTCGCAGGAAGACCAACAAAGTTCGTTGCACGTTCCTCCTAGTTGCCGCGGGTCCTTCAGGAAAGATGATGTCATCAACTGTCCGGTGCCTATGACAGCCTTTTCGCAAGGTGCGGATCATCGCTGCTCTTTGCGCATCAAACTGTGGGCAAAGCCAAATGAAATGTTCAATATCCCCGATGTCACCACAGAAGGCACAGAACGGGGAAGCGTATCTCCCAGTCTTGAATGACCAGGCCGGGGTGTATGCGGAGCCGGTTCTAATGCGGTACAACAGCGTCGCTTCTTCACGAGAAAGTCCATGAATTACACATGCTTGGTGTGGAAACCTGTAGATCGCCTTGAAATGATTGCGTATCACATCTTTGTTGTTCTGGTAAGTCTTGGGAGTTCTTACTTTTGGAAACGATGTACGTGCTTCGCATGCAAGGGCATCAGCCTTTTCATTGCCCTCAATGCCAACGTGGGATGGGATCCACTGGAACTTTATACTAAAACTCTTGCCATTTAGGTGTTTGATTAATGCCAGAGATTGCCTGGTGAACTTTTCTTGAGGTAGGCCACGATGCAGTCTTTGTAGCGCCGATTTGGAGTCCGTCAGCACTACAACATCTCGTGCAGAAAAGGATCGCAGTTTTCGCAAAGCCGCCGTAATTGCAGCGCTTTCTACCGTTGTGGACGAAACCACGCGATCCAGGCGGCCCGACCATGACACGCCCAGGCTGGGTATGCAGAAAGCCGCTGTGCAGCTATCAGTCTGTGTGCACACTGATCCGTCGGTGTACACTTGTAGGTGGCAACGGTACATGGTGCTCAAGTGGTCCAGCGCAAGAAATTTTGCTTCCGCGGCTGGAATGTTGCGCTTTGCTGGTAGATTGGGTACGCTGAAGTTGCACGCAACATCCACAAAAGACCATGGCGGGTCCATAGGGCGCCGTTTAGGCAGTTTCAAGCCTAAATATTGAAATGTGTTTAGTGCCGCGTTGAAATGTGAGCCAGTTCTTGCTCTTAGCCGCCGGAGAAGCGCCGTCCCTGCGAAGGACTCGCCCAGTCTTGACAGCTGCGTCAATAAGGCCTGAGACGCCAAAAGGCGGAGCGGAAGAGACTCAGCTTCATTGGTGACCTTCGTGTTTGAAGCCGCCTGAGGGACTCCCATCGCCAAGCGAAGACCCTTTCTGTGCACTGCCTCTAGGCGTTCGAACTGGCTTGGTGATGGTGATATCAGGGGCAGCTGATAAAGAATGCGGCTTGTTATAAGCGCATCATTCAATTTAAGCATGGACATAGGATTGTTGCCCCAACGGACCCCTGCCATGCGACGAAGAGCGTTGATCCTTTGCACTGATGCAGTTACTATACCATCAACCGCACGTCGCCATAATAGCTTGTTGTCGATGGTAATGCCCAGGAAGCGAACACTTGTTGCACAACGAATTGAGTGGCCTCGAATATTCAGCGACAGACGTGTTGACTTCCGTCGCACTCCCGGGAAGAGCATGAAGGCCGACTTTTCCGCTGATAAAGATAGGCCAAGTGTCAACAAGTGACGCTCAATGATTGAAATAGCGCTCTGTGCTATCCGGGCCAAACGTTTGTGCTGGTACCCTGAGATCCAAATGCAGATGTCATCGGCGTAGATGGATATTTTAACTGCTTTCAGAGCTGAGTGCAGAGTGTCGGGAAGCCTGGCCATGGCAGCGTTAAAAAGCAAGGGAGATAGAACACTTCCTTGTGGGACGCCGAGGGAAACGCGTCTCTCTTCGCTCGTTACATTTCCAAGCTTAACACGGACACAGCGGTCTCTGAGAAATTCATGTACGAACCGAAGAGCATTTCCCGACACACCCATGGCTTGGAGCCCGTTCACGATGCCTGCCTGAAGCACACAATCATATGCCTTGGCAACGTCCATGAAGACGGCGAGTGTCGAGAGTCCGCTGACGCGGTGGTGTTCGATGTGGCTTAATAGGTCCAAAACACTGTCCTGGGCACTCAGTCGTGGGCGAAATCCGGTCATACACGGTGGCCATCGTCTTCCTTGTTCAAGGTACCAAGTTAATCTTGTACATATTAATCTTTCCATCAACTTAGATACGCATGATGTTAGAGATACCGGTCGATATGACGCGAGGCTCGCAGGATCCTTTCCGGACTTTAGGACTGGCACCACCCATGCTGTCTTCCAAACAAGTGGGATCTCTCCCGTGCCCCAGACATGATTAAATATGTCCAAAAGAGCCCTTTTTCGCTCATATGGTAGATTTGTCAGCATTTGATTGCTGATCAAATCGGGACCCACGGCACAGCGTCTTCTTAATTTGCTAAGTGCCATATCCAGCTCTCGGAAGGTGAATGGCGTATCCATCGTGTGGAAAAACTGGGGTGACAGAGGAATCGCCGCTCCTGCTGGTCTACCAGGTATGTACACGTCTGCAAAATCCTCTGCAAGGGTTTGCAAATCTATCCCTTGTTTCAAAGCGAGTGCTTCGAATGGCCTGTTTGTTCGGATCTTCCCAGAAAGACTATTTATTACTGCCCATATCTTTGTCAAGGGCGTAAACGTTGATAAACTCTCACAGAAAGCGGCCCATTGATTTCGTCTTAATTTTTTTGTATGGCGACGAATTGCAGCGTTTATCCTGTTATATTCGGTTTTCGCAGACGGATTTCCTGTTGTTCTCATTATTTTCCGCTCCGCTCGTCTACGTGCTGCGCAGAGGTTCTTCAATTTCAAGTCTGGAGCAGGAAAATGGTCAGGCAGTTTCAGCAATGAAGTTGCTGATCGCTTGCTTTGCAACATATCTGCAAACAGCTCACCAGTGGATTTGTCCAACACTTCTCTGTAGGTGTCCCAGCGTGTTACATTGCAGAATTGCCGACCAGCAGTTCGAAATCCCAGGATATTGGTGAAGATGGGGAAATGGTCGCTGCCCATCTTGTCTGGAGCCGTGGTGCGATGATACCAGAAGGTCCGTGGAGTGAAGTACAAGGTCTATTGCACTCCATGAATCAGGTGGCCTGAAAAATGTAGGTTTACCATCGTTCGCCACACATAAGTCGGCAGCATCTGCAGCTGCTAGAAGTTCCCTGCCTCGAAAATCTACACTCTTATCTCCCCAGAGTGGATGGTGCGCGTTAAAATCACCACAGATTATTCGAGGAGCGGGACATCGAGTGCAGAGGTCCTTTAGGAAAGTCTCCATAGAGACCTTTTTTCGTGGGCTTATGTACACCGATACCACACTCAGTTTTCGGTTTCCCAGACACACTTGCACAGCAGCGACTTCCGGTGAGTTGGAACAGAGGTCTTGCACTGGTAGGGTGACGTGAGGTATTTCCCGCCTTATGTATATCATTGCGCTTCCATTTGCAAACGACGTTATGCTCGGGTTGCCGTGTCGGATGTACCCTGGGAGCGTCCTTGCATTCGGTAGACCGGCTTCGGAGAGGGCTAGAATCGGTATTGGAATGTCGCGCAGGAAAAGGTTGAGTTCGCACAGGCGTTTTAGAAGACCGGCGCAGTTCCATTGCATTATTAAGGGCACTTTTGAAGGACGAAATAGACCAGGTGGGCGAGACAGCGCCATTATTCTACTGTGTGTTTGTGGAAGCAGAGCAAAGTAAACACTGACTCTAGAGCCAGGACTGCTCCCAACATATCCTTCGTTGAACTCGCAGGCATCTTAGCGACGTGTGAACGCAGTGCTGTGAACAGAGCGCGAATAACGTGCTCGAGGTTTTCTTGCTGTTGGCTTCCAGATGGTACTTGAGATGGGCTCAGTGCATCAGCGTAGGTGCGCTTGGCGGACTCTTTCGTGATACATTTCTCACCAGCGTTGAGCACTTGCGTTGACTCAGTACCAGCTCTTGTCGGATTTAGGCGTGGAAAATTTCCTGCGCACTCGTTATCCGAAACGCCAAGTTGTGGCGTGCCGGAAGTCTTCTTTGTGAGCGATGGTTCGTTCACAGTCTTCGGGCCGAGGACAAACGTCTTATTTTTTCGCTGCGCAACTGTTCGTGCTGGACATCGGCCATAGCTAGCTGGGTGGTCGCCGCCACAGTTTGCACACACAAGTTTTTCTTTACTTGTACACGTCTTAAAGTCATGAGGCCCCCCACAGCGCTTACACCTTTGTTCCCCACGACAGTGCTTGGCAACATGTCCAAAACGCTGACATTTAAAACAGCGTGGTGGCGTCTCCACGTAGTCTACCAGCTCGTGTCTGGTGAAGCCAAGGTTGATTTTCTCTGGACGTTCCGAATTGGGAGCGAATGTGAGAACTACAGAGTCAGTGCGCCTTGATTCCCATTCGGTGGATGAGGTTTGGACTCGTCGTATGATCCTTCTTGCGTGGTATACTCCCTGAGGTCTCAGGTAGGTTGACAGCTCTTCGTCCGAGTACCATCTTGGGACCCCTTTTATAATGCAGGTATTTTTCATGTAGCTGTGTGGTACACGGACAGATATGGCAAGGCCGCAGATAGTGTTTGTCTCTAGAAGCATATTAGCTTGATGTTCTGTCTCTATATCCAAAAGCAGGGCTCCCTGTGCTGTGAAACGGCTCTTAACTGGGGCTCCACCGAGAATCGTTTCAATTTCCGAGTATAGGTGAATAGGATTCACTTGCCTCAAGTTAGCTCCTTCGGATGTTGGAGCGATTAAGACAGGAATGCCCACCGTCCTGTCTTTGCGATGTCGTACAAGGCGGAAACCACCCTCGTCCATGTCTTGATCTGTGAGGTTCGCCCCGGTGTGGTCCCCGACGACAGTTGAATTCGTCCTCTGATTCAGCGCTGTGTTGTCGCTTGCAGTCAGGTATGCTTGCGCAGACCAGCTGGTGCTTCTGAACCTTGTGTCACACCTTGGGAGGGTCATGGCGGCGCTCTCCCTGATGCTTGTCTCGTTTCTTCTAGCACCTTTCGACGCGGCGGGCTGCGCAGCACCCGTCGGTCGCCGATACGGCAGGTACCTTTTCGAGTCGTCCGACGTCTTGAGCAGTGCCGGTCAGTAAAACGTTCACTTAATTCGCACGGGAACTGTGGCCTTGAAAACGCGGGGGAAGTGAACATCGATTAATAGCCACGAGCTTCGCGATATTGCCAATTCATACGTGCATCTCCGCCTGTGTTGCAGGAGGCACCTCTTGAAGAACCTCAGAAGACACCGCAAGAGCAGGCAGCATCAAAGTCGAGAGCGCTTCAGCTCCATAGACGATTAGGTGCGACATCACTTGTTTTTTTGTTCCTCTTTTATGTGCATAAGTCTACGTTACCCCTTTGATATATTGGGATAAAGAAATTATATGCATGAGCTACAACTGTGCTTGAGTTACTAAGAGCAAGGATATGGGGGGAGGAATCAGAGACAAGGAGAGTACCTAGCTAATTGGTGTTAGCACATATTGCGTGCTTGAATGCTAAGAGAGAGCAACAAAAATTGACGTGTGCGGCTCAAGGCTAGGTTGCACAGCCACATCGAGTTCTTTCACATGTTGTTGTGTTTCATCGCATTGTGAACCACACATGGTGGGACACGTGTCTCTAAAAAATCAACATTCAGTTAAAGTTAGGCCCAGTGCTATCTTTGCTTGCCAGTGCTTGACAAATGTGTCTGATGATTCACTTCTGCATTTAACCCAGAGCGGCACATACAGCAGTCAAAGAAAATTCGACAGCAGACACGAAATGCGTGCATTGACACTCAGCCCAAGAAGATGCTCCTACCACGAAGCAGGTAAAATTGTGTCGAAATTTCATCTGTTGCTTAGCAAGTACCACCTGAATCACATTTGTCTCTAGCAGTTGAGCTTGTGACTGGACACTGGTGCATTCTGCACATGCTGCCTTGCATTATCTATAAGCTTCCATCTATGCCTGAATTATAGCAAAAAGACCTATAATGCGGTACGACTATTCTTGGCATCATTATGGTGTGGGTCTTAGCATATTTTTGCTAAAAGTGACGGCTGAAGCAGCCAACTGACCACTCTAGGTAGGTGTGATTGTGACTATACAAGCTTGTGCCTCTTAGCATGAGGAAAAGGTTTTAATTTCTGGCCTATGACTGCATTTCAATGAGAATAAAGTACAGGAACACTCAGGTACCTACGGTGAAATTCATGTCAAGGAACACCAGATGGTCCATAGTCATCTGTAATGGCCAAGTGGTACAGTGTGCCTCATAATTATCATGATTATAGCATGTGAATTCCCAATTTAACCGTTTTCAATTCATTGTCAATACAACACAGCCATAGTAACCAATCGTCGGTCACCCACCGGCAAGGGTGTTGTGGATTTAAATATTGTGATTTTTCTCACTGTGATTCACGCACATACTATGCTGACATGACGTGCCATGTCTTGAGAAATAAGTGAGCTCTGTTTGTTGATGCTTGCTTATATTTACACTAGGGTGCAGCACAACGTTCAGAAAGGCTTCTAGAGCCCAGAGCATTCTCAATAGTGCACTGTTGGCCGACCACTTTTTCACCACTTTTGTTTACGGCGGTGCATTTCACGAAAGCAATGATGACTTTAGCAAAAACAAGAATTACGCAGCCTCCATCAGATAGTGATGACAGTGATTCGACAGAAGCTAGTGGCGACGATAATGGCAGTAGAGACAGTACCTCTTTTGACACACAAGGGAACAACATGCTTCGAGTGGTATCACACACTGCTCAAATGTTGGTAAAGGAATTAAAAATGGATTGCCTGTGAGTTTTTCTTGCACAGTTCGGACTTTTCTTCGTGGCGCCAAAATTGGCAAAGTGTTTCGGACCAGAACAGTCGAAAAGTTTGTAAACGTTTTGGTCTATAAGGGGTTGAAATTTCTTTTTAATGTCAAGAAAACAATGTGCAGATGCTTTGAACCTTTCATCTTATCCACACAAACAGGCTTCCTGTTCCCAACAAAGGCCAAGGGTCAACTGCCCAGCCTTCAGGAGACACTGAGCCTTTGGTTACGTGGAAGTCTGACAGGTAAATTAAGCTCCTATCGTCACTTTTACGTATTGCCTGTGCTGCCCCAATTACGACCACTTCGGCGTCAGCCATGTGGTGGAAAGGCTTGAAAGCTGCATGGCCATGCTACCACTCAGCATAGTATATTTACAGCTTACATATGAAGTACAAAATTTCATTGCCGTTGGCTGTGAATATAAAAATGTCAAGCCTTTTCTAACTTACTTCAAGCACCTAGCTGCTGGTTCCTGTCTCACTTCATTTCGAGCACCTTCAGTAAAGAAAAATTCAGGTGTCCTTTAGTGAGATTGAACTTCTGACTTCCAGCTAAGCAACTTATTATTTTATGATTATGTATAAGTTCTTTTTTGAAGGCGAAAACCTTAGACATTTCATCAAATGCAAAATTTGACTGATGTACTGCATCGGCGTCCCACATTGGCAGTATAAACCCGAGGGACGCAAAAAATTATGTGATGATGTTACCAACAATACATTACAGATCACCAAATTTTTGACATGGCATCACATAATGACATCATCATTTGACATCATTACTTGGTCAGAGGTGGGCCTATCCCAGGGGCCATTAAAAACAAGGTGACGTGCAGACACGTTGTAATGCATACAATTATCAAGGCATTGCAAAATCACATTACTTGCAGAAAGCTTTTGGAAGGAGGCAAGGAAGGTTCAATGCATTGACTTAGACAAAAAAAAGAAGAAAATGGGTTTCACTTTCAAGGGAAAGGGATCCTGTGAGATTTTTTTTCTTATTAGTCATTTGATTACTAACTCTCTTAGACGACTGTCATGTGCGTCGCATCACAATACAGCACATGTGCTTACCACGCTAGCTGAGCCCTTTCATGTCCGCACCAAACGGTGATGTGTCAGTTCCACCACTCCAATTGTCACATCTTTTGGCAGCTAGCTCTATTGAAGGCTGTTCTCATAGGTTCACAAAAGCAAGTGGAACTCACTCAAGACATACATATATTGCGTTTTGAGCCCACTCAGACTCGCCAAAATTTTCCTGGTCTGAACTCACATGGATTCACGCTCAGCAAAACTTTTTTTCAACCAGACTCACTTGGACTGAGACTCACCAACATACTTTTATCTGAGTTTGAGCGAAAGGACTCATGAGTGAGTTTGCTGACCTAGTGCCCTGTTAGATGGCACCGTCTATGAGGCCAGCCTATATATGGTAGTTTATTTCACCGCAGACAACGCTGCGTTTAGCCGTCTTCAGGATCGACCCAGGATGTAATGGACCAGGCTGTAGTGTTTATTTATCGGAGAAAAACAAAAACGTTCTGTCATGCCATTACTGTTGCACCATCATCATTGTTGCTGCTATCTTGTTTCTCTTGTTAGACACCGTTGTTTGTTTCACAAGCACCTTGGTATGTTTGATAACACTTTGAAAAACTAGAAGTAAAGTTGGATTGCCATTTACTAAAAAAAAGTTGAAAGAAGATCACTTTTGACTGTGTGTTCAGCCTACAAAACCTTTTTTCCTCTTATAATGATGTGGTAGCTCTGGGAAAGTTAAGGGGTCATGTAGAAAACTGTTTTTATTATTTATGGGGATGAAGCGAAGGTGAAATTCGGCAAGCACTTGTGATTTGTTTTGGCGGTATCACAACTGAAATGGTTTCGAGCTGTTTTAGTATTTGAGTGACAACAGTTGATAAACTCTCCGTATCACCCCAAAATTAGTCAATGAACTAGGCGTAAGGTAGTGAAAATTTTTGCATAAGGTTAATCACAGGGGCCCATTTTATGTCGTAGTGCATTTGGTTTATTCCTTGACATTCAAATAAGCTTGCAGAAAGGTTTTGTAAGAGTGTGCAAATATATTAAATGTAGAATATTTTTTTTATAGTATTTGCTATTCAATTTGATTCGCACTGAAACTTTACTATTCGAACTTCCCTAAAACAAATGTAGTCAATGTCAGATTGGCAGTGGCACCCTTAGATTTTCAATACGCTTCACCCAATCACACCTGTATTGCAAAAAATCTGCCTTCCAGGCTCTGCTACTGTCACAAATGCATTGACTAGAAGAAAATGCTGGTTTCAACTTGGTGATGATAAATGCGGTGGGTGGGGGTGGGGGGGATAAATGCTGTTTTAGGTCTGAAGTTTGGGGCAGGAAGTTCGAAAAATCAGACACTAAAGATTTTCAGAATCCAAAATTTCAGATGTTCTTATGTATAGATGTCTACAAGGCAGATTTGGAACTCCGGGCTAGAAGAGACCACACCTTTGTCTGCCAGATCAGTTGTGCTTTCACACGAGTTGTAAGAGAAAAAGAGGCTGAGGAAATAGCATCTTTGCCTCAACGTGTGAAGTTTTGTTGGCAACACTTTGGTTGCAAGTAAAATTGTATGTAAATACAATTCTGCGTCCTCATTGCCTCATTCCTGATAAGACAACTATGAAACACCGTCTCACTAGCACTTTATCAACGTGGCCAATGTAAACACTTTTATGTTTCTATCATAAGAATATGGTTAGCAATCCTCCGAACTCTTTTTTTTCAGCAATTTGGTTTCAAAGTATTAAAGAAATATTCAAGGACAATTAGAAAAATATTTGGTTCGATTTGCACCCAGATTTCAAGATTGAAATTCGCTTCTCACCCGAAATTTCGCTATTTGCTCAGCTTTAGTTTTTAGGGGCAAAGCTCCTTTTAGTCTGGGCTTATCCTGCATCAGACGTAACAGGCAGTATCAGACAAATAGACGGTTGCACAGATAGATGGACGAAAGCATGGACGGACAGGCACATCGACAGACAGACAAAGAGAAATACGAACAGACAGACAGACACTTGGGCCCACTCATCATCATTCACTCTGTGGATATGCTTTTTTTTTAAGTTGTCTTTGCAGATTGTTTTACTAACAACTTACACAAAAGGCCAATAATTAAAATCTCTATGATGTGAAGACAGATATGGAAAGTTTTACTGCACTCACAAATGTTTCAGAATCAAACGACAAAAACAGTACGGTTATAGTTTTATCTTTTGTAAAATGGCACAGGGATGAGTGGCAGCAGAAGCTGCATGAAAAAAATGAAAGCTATGAAAATGGAGCCTAAAGGAAATTTATTTCAAAGCTAAAAAACAGAACTTAGAAGAGAGCTGATTCTACATTGGAAAAATACGGCATTGTGGCTACCTTTAGCTTCTATCTTACCTCTTTGTGAGGTGTCAAAATGGCAACACTGGCAACAGCTGCAAGATTTCCATTTTCTAAAGGCCAATTTTCTCACTTCTTGGTGACGGTACACTAGTAAAGTATTTTTTTCCGAGCTTCTACTGCATATTTTGTTCTGATATTTTGCTATGATGTCTGAGGTGGTCAGAGGATTGCAAGAAGATTAATTGAAAAATTGGACATTATAACCAGATCTATCATTGCCACGTTGCCCCTTAACATATTTGTGTTCACGGTATGTTTTCTTGTGGCAGGCCACTTCAAGTTGGCCAGTACTGAAGTTGTGTGTAAGGGGAAAGCCAAATTAGTAGGTCTTGGCATTAGTCACCCATATTTAGCTGTGTAACTGGCAAGTACACAGGAAACTTGCTCACTTGTAAATCAGCTGAGCGGCTTATTTATGTATAACTTCTGTGATTTCATTACAGTGAAGAGGATTTTGAGTTTCAGCCCACTTCTAAAGCAGCTGCCCGTGAAATCACTCAACAGCTGATTAAAGATGGGTATGATCTTGACCTGACCCCCGATGATGATGATCTGGACCTTATCCCACCAAAACCACTGACTCAAAGGTGTTCCTGCTGCAACCCATCTCATGACATGCTCCAGTTATGTGACGAACTGCTGTTCTATTGCTGATGTGACTTTTTGGAAAGGACATTCGTTATCTTGAACATTGCGATGGGTGTAGGCGCGAATTGACCGACTGATTTAACATTCCATATTGTTTTTGCTGCCAAGGCCACCGTATGGGGTTGTTGCAACAACTATAGTAGATAAACTTGTAGCGTACTGTGATGAGTGTTGCGTGAAATTGTGCAAAGCTCGATATTTTAAATTTGACTTCCCTCTAGTCACTGCAAATCGCTTCAAATTTTAAAAATGTCGTCCACCAATTTCACGATGTTCAGTGGCAGACATTGCGTGGGACTCGATGCTTTTAACTGCCATGAGTGTGTTTTAGCATTCTGAACCTGCTACTTCAGCTGGCTCAAAATGTACATTTGATGTGTTTATTTCGTTGCAAAAAAAAAAAATATTTCGAATCTCTCTAATTCTGTACATAATGCCTACTGTGTTTTTGCAAGGAGAACGGTTCCTCACATTGTGCTGTGATACATTTGCTCAGCACAGCATTGTAATAGTATTGTGCTTAAGATCATGAAATAGGAGGTGCTTGTCTGATTTGGAGGCAAGTGATATCTGCAACCACATGGAACATAATTATGCTTTGGTATAATTTGTGATTGGGTGCAAATGTCGTTGGAAGTACTGATGCATTCATTTATTGAAGCTGATAATATGATATGTAAGTATTCATAGAAGTGCTTATAGGCATTCAAAGCTAAATTTGAACCTGAGTGTATTGATCCGTGTGATGACAAAACGATTGCAAGAAATTTTCGATACGAGTGCTTTGTATAGTGCAGCAGTCATTCTCGATTGCCTTTGAACACGTAAATCAATTTGCTGAATAGCAGATCTTGAGCTACAAAGTCTTGCCCTTTCCTGTAGAGTTTGTTGTAGAGATTGTGCGTGTTAGTCAATGCACAGCCATGACAAGGTTTTCACATTGCCCTCATCGTTTGCTGTTGCAACATATTCCAGTGCCAAACCAATCTTTACACTAGGGCCAGCGATTAATACCCGAAGTTGTTAAAGACTTTCCTAGAACTAAATAATTGCTTTATCTCTAGTTCCTTAGCCTTAGCAATGCCGCACAAGTATACCAAGTGATTCTTTCTATAAACTTCATTCAGATATTTGAACTTGAACGAACATGAATCTGCATTTAAGGCTTGCCAGGTAGCTCGTGAAATGGTACCTATCATATAGTCAATGCATGAGCTTTGAGAAAGCATACAAGTTTCATTACTTGGCTACTGCGGTAACTGAATTATATAATTTATGGCGACAGGATGGCCTGACAGATGTGTGCTGGAGCATGTCATCGATATTTGCAATTCATAGTTCATTTGCATATCAAGAGTCAAACAGTTACTTATTATTCCTGGACTTTACTGATCTGTGCATGAGAATGTAGCCAAGTTCCAGCAACTTGAACCATTATTCTTACATATATTACAGCTTGCATTTCTGTGTACGCTCATAGCATTGGTTGCACCAACAGAATCTGTGCACATCACTAACCTTGATTTTACTATGACACACGCGGTGATCAATTTTATGATCGTACGTTAGTGCTTGTCCACAGCACATTTTGTTCATGTGAGCAATGTCAGTATTGTATTGCTTTGAAACACTTCCACTTACTCTAGTCATCGCCGATGCGCCATTTGGTGCCCGGCTTGGACGCACATTTTTACGTAAATGTTATGCATTAAAAATGTGGCATTTCGATGTCTGGTGGTATGAATTGTGGGAACACTGCTGCCCGACTTGCATTGTGCGGCCTTTTGCACCTTGCCCTCATGATGCATGTGACAGCATGCCTGCATGATGCACAGCCAGAGATGGGAGTTGGTGTCATTATGCAGCTGAGACAGCTGGTGTTGCATGTGTGATTTTCACTTCACGGTGTTAATAGGATGCAAGAAAAACCCGGTTTATTCGTATTTCATTTCATATTGTTAGGGTGCACTTGTAAGTGTGCTCCATGAGACAAACCAGCTGACAGATATTCTTTGGTTTTTGACAAACTGCACCAGCATTAACCATTGCTACTGCATGGGTGTGCTTTCATTCACAGAAGCACACAGACATAGGCAAACAGTTCCTCGGTAGTTACTCTTGGTCTATAAATGTAACTTCATGGAGGAGCTCTTGCGTTCAGCTAGCTGGCTTGTTACATAGGAGCAATAAATGCTCTTTTTTATATGTTCATATGGCTGAGTGATGTGTCCTTTGTTACTAAGGTCATTTCAAACTTTGCAAATTGCTTTCAACATATTCAACATACCCCATCAAACACATATGCCTATGCTGTGATAATGCACAACTTTGGGGTATCTTCGAAAGAACTGGTGCTGCCAAAAGTTTTTTTCGTTTATTGGTGCTCAAGGCTGAATTCACTGAAGACGTGTAGATGTGGCTTGAATATCAGAATAAGATAAAAAAGAGAACATCTGGTTTTGTTAACTGGCTGAAAATGATTTCAAGCTGATGGTTTACATTTTCACTTGCTACAGCTTTTACAGACTACTTCGCTACCAGAGAAGGCAACGGTGTTGCTAAATGCGATGGTCATTCTGTACAGGGTGCCACAAAATTTCATTTATGAAAGATAGTTCAACAGCGTTACACTCTTGGAATGCAAGAAAGTGAATGAGTCATAACAAGCAAGTAGGTACGTTTGGCATTAAGTGACCCTTTGAATGTCTAATGCAAGCAATTTTTCCAGTCTTTTACGATGGTGTGCAGACTTTTGTTTGCCTCTATAAGTCACTTGGACTCCACATCCACAACTTGAGACTGTACGTTTTTGCCAGGATTACATCTGTTAATAGGACTTCTCGCTGGTATGACGGCTGTATATATATTTTTTCAAAGCTGTTCCGAGTACTGGTGTGGCTCTGTGGTATGATACTTGTCATGCTGAATACATGGCACCGATTCTGGCTCGAACACTTGATTTTTGTGATTTTTATTCTTTGCATCTGTGACGATTTTCTTGGAAGGCTTTCAGATTTTCAGGCAGTTTTCACTTGCTTATGGGCGAGGTCACCGCCAACATAGACACCCGATAAACTCTCAACTTTGTCAACCCGGGGTTTTCTAATGTACTGCTGAATTTATGTGCCTGTGTTTCTGTATGTTACCTTTGTTGAAGTGTAGCTATCAAAGTTGCTGTTGAGCTTGGCATTGGTTCATTGAAGCAGATGTGAATGCTTCCGCTAGTTTTTCAGTAAAAGGCTAACAAATTAATTTGCATTGCATATTACCTCTCTGGAAAGTTGCTAAGACCTAGTTGGAAAAATAGTAAAGAAAAAATTTGCTATATAGAGGCTTCATTTCTAATAAACTCAGGTCGCCTGTGAAGATCAAAGTCATGGGCTGCACTGGCAGTCTTGGCCAACTGGGCACCTGCAACTCCTAGATGTAACACCAGAGTTCCAAAGCTGAAATTGCTTTGGAGTAATACGTGTCATAAATTATGCAAGATGCTTTCATTGCACTTGAAGGGCCCATAAACCACCTGCAATATTTTTTCAAGCATTTCAAGTAAACGCGTGCATCATGTGCAGAATGACGTCGTGATCAACAATTCTGCACGTGGCAGCGCTACGAGCCGCCGGCGCGCCACAAATTCCAAGAAAAACGCATCCTTTCCGTCCCCTTTCGAGCCTCCGCGTGACGCGCCGTGTCACATCTCTGGCGCGCCGAGCCAAATATGCTGTCGAACAAGAGCCGACAACTTTTGGTCAGTCTGTAAGCAGCTGTCTGCGCTGCTTGTTGTTGTTTGTCGAGTTGCCTGCGTGTGTCTTACACGTGCGGGGTGCGCCGTGTCCACGTACAGGTCCATCGCATTGGCAATACTTTGAAGGCATGCGTGCAACGCAGGTTCCATACCGGCACGATTACGGCAACCACGATTCGCCAACAAGCTCGCAACTGACGGAGTCGACGGTTGGAGTAGCGGCAACCGGAAGTAGACGGTATTTCACGCAGCGCGTCAGTGATGACATGCCACGCGAGATTGAAATGGACACTCGGCGAGAAGCAAAGCGGCGTGGGAAAGGATACCAGCGGAGGGAAGCGCAGGAGAGAGCGAAAGGTGTGGTCGTCACGGTTTCGATAATCAAACGTGTCTAACTCTGCTATTACTGCAACGTTTCGAAAAATTCTCACGGGTCCGTATTCTTCGTACAATCGTGCTCAATTTTCTTACAACAACAGACTTTCGAGCTCTGGGTGGTTTATGGGCCCTTTAAGACAGGAGCACACAGACGTAAGAGCACTCATTCGATTTGGTGGTCAAAATACTGCGCAAGTCCATGCAGTTTTTCAGTCTAAGTTGTTTATGTGACAGTGAAACCTTCCTTTAATTTGTGCACACTTTCTTTTATTTCCCTTTTTAACATTACTACTCGGCGTGGGGATAAGAAAGTTTCTTTTTGGAAAACTATTTTTACTCCAACCAAACTAAAGTGCGTGAATATACCTAAGAACCTGACGTTTCGGAACCGACTTGCTTCTTTCCTCATGGGGGACTGTGGCGATGTTGCAGTGGCGTCTTGAAAGCACTCGCGGGCCGAGCATTGTGAGACATTTTACCACCAGATAACTTTCGAAGAAACGACCATCCTGAAAATCAAGATTAACTGAAGGAGAAGGCTATTCGAGTCATGGCATATACAGCGAATGGCCCAAAACACCTACCGTTCTTTCGAAACCCTTCCCCCGGTGTACACACTCGGACTATGCTCCGCAGCAAAACTAGGGGTCGTTAACTGCCCAGCGAGTTCCTTCAAGATGCCGCTGCAACGTCGCTACAGTCCTTTCCCTGTGGAAGGAACCAAGTCTCTTCCAAAACATCAGATTCTTACGTATTTTCACGCACCTTACTTTTGTTGTAGTTAAAATAGTTTTCATAGTTTACCTACCTAATCAGACAGATATCTGTCGAATGTTTACATATGCAGTACCTGAAATACTGGAATTGCTTATGAGCTTTCTAGATATGTTGCAATCAGTGATGTGTTCTGGTGTATGCGTTTTTTCCAGACACAGGAACTGATGTAGTGGCATTTGGAGCTTTACTGAATGGAAGCAAGAAAAAAATTACCATAATAACTAGATAATTTGGAGCGGAGAGAACACCAGAGCTTCATTTATTTTAAGCCTAGGCAGCGGGAACAAACAACCTTGCATACTAAGCCATGGCAGGTACATCCTTCCAGCATGCAGTCGAAACCTGTAAGACAACAGTATGATCGAATTAATTACGTGATATTACAGTCAAGCATTTCTAAGTCATTGGGAATGCGAGAGTGATAATGCAAGGTCTTCTTGAAGTAAGCACTTCTGTTCAGAACATACTTTTGCTTCATAATTCTCGCAGAAAGATGGTACTGGATACTGAGTGCACCTCCTGTTTGATTTGTGCACATTTTTGAAACTGCAGGAAAAGGTCGTGAGCTCCTCTGTGGAATTTTACATATGTACGAAATGCCACAGCAATGTTTTGGCTGCCAACCTTACTTTGGCCTGTCTATACGGCCTCCATGAGATGACAGCACCAAATAACTAAATGAACAAAATGCAGCAGTAAAGCAGCATGTTATGCAAAAACGTATCCTCTGTGTCATGTCAAAGGATGCAGAATATCTGCAATAAAGACACTGATATGTGTGTATGGTTTGCACAATGAGGTTAAAAGGTCTGCACAGATACACGCTGTATTTAGCTACAAAGGTAACGAAGTGTGAAAGTTCGATATGTTGTCCCACAAAGCTCAAGTGGCTGCAATGAAAATTGAAGGCATGCAGTGCAGTGAATGTGCTCTCAAATTGGCAATCGAAGATAAGTTCTGCAGAAAGTTTCATGCTGCACAATAGCCATTGCTATTATTGTGGCAAAAATCGTGACAGACATTTTGCTTGGATGTGATCGACACGTCGAAACACTGTGGTCAAGGCTACAAGTATAAGATTCAGAGGTCTGTCAACAAAATCACAATTTGAAGACCATTGTCGTGAGTTATAATGGGAGTTTTTGATGTGCCTCAAATTCTTAAATAAGGAAACGTTTGGCTCTACATTCAGGGCCATCAGTCTGCCATGATGAGGATGTGTAGGGCACGGTACTGTGCTCTTGTAAAATTAGCAGAGTACAGCTAGCAGAACTGTCATGGCGACAGCAATCGCCCTCCTAACACAGTAATAGTGGCTGGTAGCAATATGCCGGTATTTGTGAATCTAGGTGTGAAGTGTGGCACATGTTAATGTCTTTCATGTAGGCTCAGACTGCTACTGCCCCCACACTTTTTTCTAACAATAGCAGAAGTTATATGAACTGTGAAATATTAAGTGGCTTCAAGTAAACTGAATACAATAAGACAGTAGAAGTTCTGAGGGTTACTTGGAGAGATTAGAACTTAGAACATTGGGATTTTGAATCATCACAAGTGAAACGTGCACACGAATTCCCAAACAATCGCCACAAGCTGCGTGACCCACCTCTACGTTTCGTAGTCCAGAGGCACGTAGTACTCAGGCTTGTCGTACCCAAGCTCTTCAGGGGTGTTGATGCCCAGTTCAGTGAGTGTCGGGCGAATCTCTTGAAGAATGTACGGGTAGATCTCCTTCACTTTGCTGCCACACTTGTACTGAAAGAGAACGATAATCGTGCGACATCCAAACCCTATGACTGCCAAGCCATTGAAGATACAAACAACCAACTACAAATCAAATTTCGCAGGACAGAACACTCCACTATATGTTCTTGAGCATCACATTGCCTGGAATAAAACATTCAGCGTCCTGGGTGATATTTTGCCTTTCTCTGAGGCACTTCTTTGAGGAAACATTTTTCAAAGTTGAAGCACCGCTTTATCAGATCATGACATGCCCAGGTTGTAAAGCAAACAGGAATCTGAGAAGTGCGATCACAGTGACATGCATGTGTAAGAGCAACTCGTATCAGTTAACTTTAAACTTTAGCATGTAAAGTCAAGGCTGTTTCTTAGGTTTTACACAACATGCTAACCGAGACAACAAACGTCGCTAAACTAAAAACGCATTAAAACAGGAGCACACTGGGGGAACGAATACCGTGTTCGGAGCACTTAATCAACAATCGTGATATTGCCAAAGTGACCAAGCTCACCTTGATGGCCTCGAGGAATCGAACAGCCAGGGCGAAGTCGTTGGTCCGTCGGCAGGCTTTTAGCGCGGCGATGACGATTTTGGGTTCAGGAACGACGTCGAATCCCTGGAGGTCGTTCATCGCCTTGCGGATCTCCCAGCCGTCAATGTCCTTGCGGTTGAAGTACGCTTCGTAGCGGGCGTCGAACTCTTCCTCTGTCTCCTGGTTGTGCTTGGACATATGCCTCGCAGAGGAAATTGCTGCAACAGTTGTTTTTTTAAATGTAATAAACTCGCACACTGCGTTACACTTGGATCATTGCAGCAATAGTGGGAGGCGTCCCACACAGCGTATCGCCGATGGCGCAGTCAACAAACTCGCAATCGGTTATGTAAACGCAGGTCCTGTGAAGGTCAAGTGGCACAGGAAAAGTTCAACGAAACTGAGAGCAGTAGTGGCCTTTGCCGAATATATTGCGCAAGAAGTGCGGAAAGTAACGTTTAACTTTGTACCGCACATCGTATGAGTACACTAGAAAGCGCAACAGAAACTTCGCGAGCCGGCATAGCATGCCGACTGCAATTGGACGTAGCTAGTCAGCTAGAATAAAAGCTAGCTTTATGATCTATGGCTATAATTTACAGCTGACTACGGTATCGATAAGAAGGAGTATCTAATACAATGTAAGCGAGTTTAATGCGGGTACTTCAACGTCCTCCCATCGATGTTTAATTAAAGCGAATACTGAAACCGTGCACACCACAGTCAGGGCTAACGGCACTGAATGAATTTACAAGAAAACCTGGGCCAATAAATTAACATCGTGCACGTACCAGTTGGCAGAACTGCATTTTTGGGGATGGCAGCGGCTCGTAGCGCGGTCACACCGGAACGGGCAAGCACAGCAAACATTTTGCTCGAATTGATTCACTTCGACCTACACCGTTCCTCCGTATCCTCTGCTAGGACAAGTGACGTCACAACCAGCGTGGCCTGGCGTGAAGTTAGGCGGCGCTAAATATGGCTAAAAGTTTTGTGTTTTTTTTTTGTTAATGCGCACGCAATGTCTAAAATTATTGAACACTCTGTTGCATAAGGTAACTACTACTGGTCGTAAATGTTCAGGTTACAGCATGGCAGCTTCAAACAGCAATTTAAACAGAACTTGTGCAGCAAGTAAATTGGCACGATATTTTTTTTTTTTTCTTGTTGACACTAGTCAATGCCACTTTTATACGAATCTTGAAGTTATTTTGGTTAAAAACAGCTACATTAGGTATAATAAAAATTCTGAAATCTGTAACGTTACTTTTCATTATATATTTTTTGGCCAATATAACAAGATTATGACACTATGGGTTAACAAGCCGATCAAAATTTTTGGAGCAACGCTGCTTCAGTTTGCTTCTCGCTTCTTATTCTTCTTCGATACTGAACTCGTTACATTGCTCTTTATTTTATAGCGTATGGTAAACCGCCACGCATTGGACGCACATGTTCACGCTTGCGTGCTGAAGAAGGAAGAAGCGTCATGCCCGTGCGAAGATGCAGAAACGCCCTTGCCGTAAGTATTGCTGAATATTCTGTGCCAATTTTTTCCCCCGACGGCTGTCATCTTTAGATGAAATGCAGGTGCATTTCGCCCGCAAGAAAAAGTCAAGAAAACGTGACCTAACTAAACCACACAAGCTGCAGGGCCACTTCGAGCACAGCTATGTAAGGGTCGGCGACTGGTGATACGTCACTGACAATCAGCGTGACAGGTCCGGCCTGAAGGTTAATTAAGGAGAAAACGCGGGGTGTCTCCACGGTGAATGGGTCGCTGTTACGCTCTTCGGAGTCCTCTTAACAGTCACGAAGCAGCATTTGAGGCGTCAGTGACGACTGACGTCGCCGCGGGTGTCTCTTTCTGAGCTGAAGCATTACTACCACAAAGCAAAAAAAAAAAAGAAAGGCCAAAGTAAGAAATAAAAAAATTAAGGGTTGTGCGTGCCTTTTTCTGAAGGCGACGGGAAAGGGGAGAGCGTACTTGTTTGTTTAAATTTATTGACGTCACAATAGCATTGACCGACTTACAGCGCCCCTCTCTCTTCGCATCACTTTTTTCCATCCGTTTTTTGCAGAGCAGGCCTGACTATATAACCATCGTCTGCTTCAGCGCAGCGCCAAAAACGACTTGCGGCGTCGAGCGATCGCGAGCTTCGCCGGCGCCAAGCGAGCGCAAAAGAAAGGCCCTCAGCGATTTCGTCGCGTGCCGACGAAAAACATGGAGCGATCCTCGCTAGCCGAGAAGAACGAGGAGTGGATTAAGATGGACGACCGCAAGGACAACCCGAGCAAGAAGCAGTCGCGCTTCCAGGTCGCCAAGGTGGACTTTGCCGTCGAGAAGCACTCGGACGGCGAGAGCAGCAACGGCGAGGACGATCTCGACCAGGACGGAGACGGCCAGCCGGACGGCCAGTCATGGAACGCCTGCTCGTACGACACGCACAACGTGCGCAGCCTGCGCCACTACACGCGCGAAGCCCTGCCGCGGCTCGACCACTACCGGAACCTCATGTCGGTGCACGGACACATGGAGCGGCCCACGCTGGACGAACTGCACAACGCGACGCTGACGCTGATGCCGGACCAGAAGGTGAGCAGCTGTAGATCGCCTCTCATTACCGCGTAGCTACGCCTTCCTTCGCCACTTTTTGATCCGTCTTTTTCCCCATTTATTGTTCTCGCGTTCACTGGGTAGGGATCGCGTAATCCGATACAGAGTCTGGCTCATGCGCACCAGTTCACCCTCCGCAACTCGTTTCAGCCGCTGTCGCCCGTTCAAAATGCCGGTACGCGGCGCAAGCAAGCTTCCTGGCCTTCACCCCGTCGTCTCCCCTTGCCGCCGACTCATTGAGCTTCCACCACTGTCTGGGCCGACGATCGAGGGATGTGGTTCTCGCGCGTGTGTTTTATTATCGTCTATCCGCAGCAGCGGTGCCACGCTCGAAGAAACCAGCAGTTCCACCCTCTTGCCACCACTCCGGGACGTTTTCATGCCCCCCCCCCCCCTCCTCCCGTCGTCTCCATTTATTGTTTTCTCTCTCTCTCGCGTTTTCTTTTCCCGACCACATGCGCGAGCTGCGAGGACCGTCTACGTATCCGATTTCTCTCTCCTACAAGCCGAAACCCGGCAGGAGCGAGAAGGAATGGATTACGATCGCAGGTTCGAAACGAAGGCGCACGACGAATAAAAAAAAAGGAAAAAAAAGGAATTGAGCCTGTTACGAAAGGTGCAGCGAAAGAGTGAGATGCGCCGAAAGCGAGGCAGTGACAAAAAAAAAAAAGAAAAAGCGGCCCCAACACGACGTGTTCATCCTTCTCGTTGCTTCCTTTAAAAAAAAAAAAAAAAAACGAAAGCTGGTCTTGGAACGACGTGTACATCGAGCTGCGTCTACGTCGTCTGTCCGACACGCCGTAACGCGAACACACACACAGCTGTCTGGGTGAAAAAACAGCAACTCCGAACGCGTCGCTGAAGTCGCCGTGATGCCAACGCGGGCGCGAATATTCAAGCGAACGAAGGCGCGACGAGGTGCCTCATATCTTCTTCGCTCTTTACGCGCTGTCTTGAGAAAGAGTGGGAGACAAGGGCAGTTTGAGAGCGTGCACTTCCTTCTTCTTTCCCATCTTCTTTTTAACGCGTGGTTTTTTGCTTAGGAAGAACGGCGACGGCCTTTTTCAAAGCATGCGGGCTTGAGTGCTCCGCTGCAGCCACGCCGCCCATTGGTGAGGAGGAAAAGCGGTCCGCTTTTTACGTTGTCGTCTGCTACTGAATGGCGGCCGCCGCTCCCTCCGCTTTTCGTACTTTTCTTGTCCGCGTGCCACCCTAGTCCGTGGTACCGTGCTTTGCCGCGAATAAGCTTGCCGCCTGTGTCGTCGATGAAATGGAAATATGTAAACCGCTTACGACTGTCTCCCGTTCTTTTAGGTATAAGAATGACATCCTTTATGCAAGTGTCATGAGCAGCTTCGATTTGTTCCCGTTCAGTACAACGAAACAGTTGTGGAAGGTATACGGGTATACCACATTTACCTCACCGCCGGTTCCGCTTCTCACTTGCTTATCCGAAGGCAGCTTGCCCGGGAAAAAAAACAAAACAAGGAAAATGAGACGTGGAACTTGTTTGAAGCAGCTATGTAGCGTTGCTTATCGTCCGCTGTGCACAAGGACGCTCACAGAACTGTTTGCAGAAGGTTGCATTCAGAGAGAGAGAGGGGAGGAGGGATCATTAAGATTAGCCAGCTGCTTTTGCTGTGACATTACCAGTATGATTACTCATATTGGGCAACGTGAAAAGGTTGCTGGCAATCGTGTAAGGCGTTTCACGCAAATATGCGTGGCCTAATGAGCGTGCTAATCAAGCTGTCCAGCTTGTTGCTACCGCATAGAAAACTGTTATCCGATATTCCAAGGTGGGCCCTGCCCTTGCTCCCGCTCCGGACGCCCATGACTGTGCGCAAGCTCAGTTCGTTGCTCGTCTTTTATTCGCTCAAAACGTAAACTATAACATGTTCACACGAGCGCTTAAATGTATACAACAAAATAGTGCAAAAAAAAAACCCGTTTTCAACGTGCGTATAAGCGTTTCGGGTCACGTACTCGTATATCGCCCAATTCAGTGTTAAGTCCGGTTGTCATCATCCGCTATGCGGAGTATCCCAGCTAATGTAATTCAAGCTTATAAAGGAGAAACAACTTAGAACAAGTGGCCTAACATACAGCGTAGATACCTATATTTTATTTATTTATTTATTTATTTAGAGAATACTGCGGACAAAAAGTCCTGAGCATACATGAAACACACTAAATAACAGAATGAAACAAGGTTGCAAAGCGTTTTTTACACAATTTCTTTGCTATAAGACAGAGGGGTTATGGCTTTAAAAAAAAAGTAACAGTTCAACAACAAGGTGATAATACTATTCAAGGAAGTCATGGAAGAAGAGTATTTACACAAATGGTCAAGGGCGTTGAGGAAATGCTTCGGTTAGTTTATTCCAATCATCTATTGTTTGTGGGAAGAAGGAGTACCGAAAAGTATCAGTCCTTGCGAAGATTGGCGTTAGGGAATGAGGGTAGTGGTGTCGAGTGGGTCTGCTCAACAAGGGGGATACGTATGCTGCGGTGTCTAAGGGTAGCCTTTGGTTCACGATGTCTGAAAGAAACTGTAGCCGACTTTTTTTTTCTTCGACTTTGTAATAGTTCTATACCATTTGCCGTTAGTAATGCAGTGGGGGAGCCGGTTGACATAAATTTACTATATATGAATCGTTCTGCTTTTCTTTGAATTCTTTCTAGGTTTTGAACGTTCAGTCATCTGTTCGGTCGATAGTGTTCAGTCATCTGTTCTCTATCGCTATACTAACACAAACTTTTGTACTGGTGATACTATAGGGAAACAAAGTGTAACGAAACAAACGTGGTACAGCTTGGCTCATGTTGGCTGGGGCACCCTATACAGAATACCGAGAAAAGGAGAGAAACTTTGAGGTTCGCATTTGTCGGGGAAATACACCATGGAACAGTCTTTGTTCCTTTTTTTTAAAACGTGGAGATTGGTTCAGTATATTTTCTCTGTGAAGTGATCTAGACGAGGATTGTGTGCAGAAAATAAAATAAAATGCGGAACACAGTTCGTTAGTGCCACTTCGCACGTGAGCAAGATTCCTAATGTTATCAGAGAATGCATTCTTAATTTCACACTATATTCAACAGCAGACTTGCCTAAGCATTTGACTACTGAGAATGCCTGCGCCGGGGATGTATATGCGTTGGTTGAAGTTACAATTTCGAGATTCACTACAAAATACCATGCTATCACGACTAGAGTATATGCTTGTGTAGACAGCAGCTCTAAAGTGTAAAATATATATGCGTGGTATACCAGATATGCTATTTTATTTCTTTGTGTGTATAAATTGAGGCGTACATATGCTATCGCTATTAACTAAATGATAGAGTGTAAGTTGATACTTTCCCAATCACAGACGAAAAAAATTACTCCCCGAAAAGCGCTGAAACAGAATCCTGTAAAGGTTGCTAAAATGAAAGTTATTTATTTATTTATTTATTTACAATACCTACAGCTCCCGCGCGGGTATTAGTTTATGGAGTAGATAACATATAAGGTACATTTACAAAAAAGTAATATATTTCAGTAATACATTTTACACCCTCTGTTGCGCATATTTTGCACCCTCAATATATAAGATGATGATAACGCGTGCCAGAACATCTTTTTTTCTTGTGCACCACGTAATAAAGAAGAATTGGATGCTCATGAGGGTACTGAGTGAGTTAGAAAATCTGAAGCACTGATGGTAGTTACACACATATCCTTCAGACGCAGCACAGGTGGTAGTCTTGCTCCCTCTCAAGCTCCGATATTGGTGTTCACTCCCGTGAACATGACTTGTTGGGTGACCGTGTCACCCGACAAGTCATGTAGCGCTTTGTTTATTTATTATTATATTTCATCACGTGAATCTACTTTCAGACCAAACAATATGTGCCATTATTGTTCTCAAGTTGCGTCCAAGAAGAGTGAGTAAGCTCGACAGACATCACCAGTCCTTGTAGGTCACGATTCGTCACTCATCATGGATGCAAAGTAATTAGCCCACCAATGTGTCTTAGCAATGTTCAAGTTGGGACACCTTTTTAATTGCGAAGCATTTCTTTGCGTACTGCAAGCTCTTTTGGTATCTATCTGTCTGTCTGTCTGTCTGTCTGTCTGTCTGTCTATCCATCTATCCATCTATCTATCTAACCTCTTACGTCAGAGGGCTCTCGTGATTCCCCCCTTAACTTGGCGAGAACCAAAATTAGTGCATGAGGGTAAGATGGTTTGATCAATATCACGTGCTGTTCAAGACTTAGAATAGTGTCACAATCCCGTCGCGTACGTCGTCAAACACTTTCCACCAGACAGTGGCACATACGCACGGGTACGCGGGTATGTGCCACAGCTGATTAAAAGTTCGTATCTACCCAAGAACGGCGAGAACAGACATGGGTAATTGTAATGCGTGGGCGCTAAGAAAAGGCTGACATCGGCAGCGTTGACCTGACGAGCAGGAAGGGTCCCAGCAGGAATCGAACCAAGTCATTCTGCGTGGTAATCAAGCATTCTATCACAGAGCCATGCCAGGTTTCGGAAGTACTTTTCAAATAGACCCCAATGTTCGATAAACGTCAACTGTGGTTGCAGTACTGGCTGTCCAATGTTATAAATATTAGATATGTACTCATATGATACAGCTGCCACGTCAGCTTAACGTTCATTGTAGTTGAGTGCCATGCGCTGAAATTGATTTGTGTATCAGTGTCCAGGGATATAGGATTCTTCAGGTTATCGCTTCTGGTGTTGCTAATACTAATGTTGCTATTGACACAATTGCACAAGTGCAAACAACTGAATATCTAAACATCTGCGGCTGTTCAACATATGTCTATGCGTGCAGCATTTGTACATACATTCAACGTCATTTCATAACGTATCGCTAAAAAAAAAATTACAGCGTGGTTATCTAGCTCCCCTCCGCATGCTTCGTGTAACGTGATTCCCAAGGCACGTGGCATCTGCTGTTTTT